GACAGCAGGGGCACTGTGGGACAGATGGAAGCTGTGTTTCTCTGTGCAGACAGCAGGGGCGCTGTGGGACAGATGGAAGCTGTGCTTCCCTATGCACACAGCAGGGGCACTGTGGGATAGATGGAAGTTGTGATTCCCTGTGTGGACAGCAGGGGGCACACAGGACAGATGGAAGTAGGCACTGCTGGTCTTGTACAGGGAACCAAGGCAGAAAACAAGAGACACTCATCTGGTAAAAGTCACCTTAAAAAGCAACCAGCAAGTGGATGAAATAAGTAGCAGTAACTACCAATTGGGAATATGGAATACAAAATGAAATAATTTAAAAACTAAAGACAACCCAAACCCATGGCCATGAAGTTGATTCAACAGGGACTTGAGAGGGCAGAGGAGGACTGCTCTGTAGGGCTTCCCAGGTTGCCAGCCATAGGGAACCAGACAGCCCATTTTTCATCAAGGAGCAGCTGGTGGGTTCAAAGCACCCACTTTTCAATTAGCTAAACAATGTTTAACTTCTGTCCCACAAAGGTATTAAAATGCAGAAAAGGAATGCAAGGAAAAGCCAAAAGAAAGGAGTCCTGGTGTGGCACTGTAGGATAAACACTTGACCTATGGTTTGAACCACAAAGCTGGCCAGCCACTCATCAGAAGCCTATACAGCGTTGCTGAGTAAGAACCGACTCTATGGTACTTAACACCACCACCAATAACAAGAGAAAAAAGCGGTAAATAGACAACCGATGGGACACTTCAGGGCAGAGAGGTGTCGTTAATGGTGAGGAGGTAATGTTAATGTTCGGAAAGAGCACTGAGGCGGCTGTACAACTTGGAGACTGCCAGTAGCATCTGTGGGTTTTACGTGCAAACTGCTATTTGACTGGGTGTATTTCCACCACAAACCAAAATAAGTTACTTTTAGAAAATGAAAACAAAGATGAGATAAAGAATATACAGAGAGCAGAGGGGCGGGAAACAAAAAAGGAGTATAAAATTCGAATTCAGGAAGTTTTCATCAGTTACTAAGGCCAGCATTTGATCCCAGGCTGATCCTCACTCAGTCGCGATCCAGTCTGCCTACACCTCACAGTCTGTGTACACCCCAGTCTGTCCACACGCCAGTCTGTCTACTCCCCACAATCTCTCGACACCCCACAGTCTGTCTATACTCCAGTCTGTCCATACCCCAGTCTACACACTCCAGTCTGTCCACACCCCACAGCTGTCTACACCCAACAATCTGTCTATACCCCAGTCTGCCTACACCCCTCAGTCTGTCTACACCTCACAGTCTCTTGACACCCCACAATCTGTCTACATTCCACAGTTTGTCCACACCCCAGTCTGTCTACACCCCCACGGTTTTGTCTATACTTCATAGAAGAAACACTAAGGCTGCTAACACGACACGGGGACTGACAACGGTTTCCTATTTACTGGCTGCCGTTGTTTAGTGTGATCGAGTTGGTTCCAAGTCACAGTGATCTGTTAGGCGCTCCCAGGAGCAGCAGGTGGCTTTGAACCACCGACCCTGTGGTAGGGTGCAGAGCTGACCCCCGGCACCACACCATGACTGGCAGGTCCCTTCAACATTGATAATGACAGTAAAACCTGCTGGGAAACAGCAGCGTCTCGTCAGCACCGCCTGACGGTATGAAGGATCACTCTGGTGCTCATGGTTTCAGATTCCACCTCTACCTGTCATTGCTCAAGCTACGGGGGCACAGTCTGAACGGACATGTTCAAAGAAAGAATCCGTCAGCTTGCTGGCAACTCAGCTGAGACACAGCCTCGGAAACAACCGGCCTTTAAACGATTACAAAAGAAAGAGAGACTGCCTCAAGGCTCTGAGCAAACACAGCTCCGGAGATCCACAGGCTCCATGCATGTGCTCTCCAGGCTGACTCTCTGTAAAAGCAGACAGCCTCGCCTAGCTACCAGGGAGCAGCTGGTGGGTTCGAACCGCCAACATTTCTAATCACCAGCCAAGCACTTGACCACTGTGCCACCCAAGCTGGTCTTCACCCAACCACAGGGGACAGAAATGCCAGCAGCAGCCTGAGGAATAGCACTCCCCACACTCAACAGGAGGTAGGGTGAGTGTGAAGGCGCAACACAGGGATCTTAGCTGTGCCCCCAAGAAGGGAGGACTGTGACCTGGGGACCACTAAAAATGAACAAACCAAGCAGTGTTGCTGTTGTGAAGTGCCGCTGAGTCGGTTCCCACCCACAGCGACCCTGTATAGGGTTTCCAAGGAGCAGCTGGGCAGCTTGAACCACCAACCCTGCAGTTCAAACGACTTTGCAGTCCTGTGCATTAGTCCACAGCGCCACACCAGGACTCCGGAAATGGGATCAAGATGCTTAAAGGGGCAACCAAAGGTAGCCACTAGAACAAAATTTAATGCCAAAGGAGTTAAAAAAAAAATAAGTCAAGAAAAATTGGTGAAAAAAAAACAGAACAAATATTCTAGGATAAACATAAAAACACAGTAATAGGACATCTTTGAGCCCCAACTCTTCAGCTGCTATGAATAAATGTGAATCAGGTGAAACTTTCTAACATCAAAATTTTGGGCACATTCATGATGCTGACCACCATGTGCTCGAGAGATTAGGAAAATAATAGATTTAAAAAAAAAAAAAAAAAAATAGGGGAGGGGCGGGGGCAGGAAAACCCCAGGGCGATGGGTGAATATCCTATGAAACATCAACTCAGCCATTGCAGCTCCGGTCACACTCATTGGCCGCACGGGCCCTGGGCAGGGAGACTGCAAAGGCCAAGCCCCCGGCTGCCCAGGCCCCAGACACATACTTGGCACAGCCGTTCAGGCAGGCCTTCTGCATGGCATCGATGGTGTAGCGGAGAAACTCATGGGCGTCCTCCTGATTCCCAAAACGGAAATGCCGGGCAATTTCTATCGAGGGGAGAGAAGAAGCGTCAGGCCGGCTGGAGAGCACGTGTGCACCTCGCCAACAGCGGCTGTTCTGCCGACCGTGTCTTCCTTTCCAGGAAAATGAACTGAAGCTGGAAGACATCGGGCTCACAGAACCAAGACCACCGAGGAGCTGTCAGGGAGGCAGAATCCACCCATCACTAAACAAGGTCAGTGCAGAGCATAAATAGGCCAGAGCCACGCCGTCGGGCTGGCGTCTACACAGCTTCCGGAACCAGCTGACTGCCGGCCTCTGACAAGGCGCCCTGGTTTCCACACACCTGCCATGTTTCTCATCCACGCCAACCTGCCACCTAACTCACATGGCGGTCTCCTCTGCCCAAGTGAGAGCTACTCGGATGCCTCCATCCATGACCCCTGCCTACGTGAGACTCTGAACAACCCTCCCGTTAGCTGCATGGGGAAATGTGTAACGTGGTCACCAGATAACAAGATGGCAAGCCCCTTTGTGATAGGATTCCAGAGACCCCATTCACACCTCTCTCCACCCATAGTATTCCTGAGCCCCAGTCACACATCTCCCCTCCTGATAGATTTCTGGGACACCGTTCACATCTCCCCTTCCGACAGACTTCCTGGGCCTCATTCGTGCCTCTCCCCAAGTCAGCTTGGAAGTGCCCCAGGCAGAGCCCAGCAAGCACTGGATAACGAAGTGTCGTACTTTTCAGATCGCGGATGAAGGAGACTGGCTTGATGGCGTTGCCGCTGTTGGCGAAGGCCTGGACGATGTGGTTCTGCAGGACGCACAGCATACAGAAGCTCCCCTGGTGACCTGCGGGTGGAGGACATAGGATGCCCGCTCGACAGAGACAAACGAGGCTGAACTAGAATGGAGACGTCAGGGAACAGGACTGGGCTGCCTCCACAGTTTGTTTCTGAGGAGCCCACACCATCATTGCCCTGCTGATGGATGCGCCCACTCCGATTCCACCAGTGGCTGACCCATGGCAACCCCATGTGTGCTCGGACGGCCGAGTTTATAGCAAGAGATTGCTTTGTCTTTCTTTGCCAGTGCCTCTGGGCGGGCACAAACCTCCAACCTTTCAGGTAGCAGCACAGCGATACCAGCATGGTGTTGTTACGAAGTGCCGTCGAGTCGATTCCGACTCATCGCGACCCTGTCTAGGGTTTCCAAGGAGTGATTGGTAGGTTTGAACCGCCGACCTTGCAGTTAACACAGGACCCCTCTGTCTGGTATTAAGGACATTTAGAATCACAATCTGAGTTTCAAATGAAAGTGTAGGAAACAGAGGACTTGGTCTAAGTTGTGTCACATGATAGGACACTCAACTATCTCAGCGCTTCGGGCTGGTCCCTTCGTCTGAGCCCCGCTCTCCTGACTCTCACAGTACCCCACTGGCAAACGTCTCTGTAAAGCGTCAGCTTGTCCGTATTTCTGCCTGTTCTCACCACGAGGCCACTGCACAGCCAAAGCAGCCACTACAACCAGACAAGAAACGGGTGTGCTGTGCGCCACACAACTGTGTTCACAACGACAGGTGACAGGTGGCTGGGCTCCTCCACCCCCAGCCAACAGGAGGTTGCGTGCTCTCTGTAAGCAGCGGGCTTGGCTGCAGAGCCATAGGAGCTTTTAGAAACGAGGAGCTATCGTCAATAGAAAGCCAGTTCTCCTAGATTGTACGTGGTTTTTGAAAAAGAAACTATTGGTGCAGCGGTTGGCCTTCCCTCTCTTAATTTCCCAGTTCTCTTTGATCTATAACTCACTATCTGAAATTAGGTAAGCTCCTTCCTACTTACCAAACTCATGGGCGTGCAAATATCCACAAACATAAGCTGGAACTGCGATTCCCGTTCACAAGCTGAGTGGGTGTAAAGCAAACCATGCCACCCTGTGCTGCTAGAGGTGGCTCGGGGTCATTCACAGCCAGAGTGTCTCTGGGAGGGACAGACTGTGGTGTAGCAACTGCTTCTGCAGATACACACTTGTTGTTGTTAAGTGCTGCTGAGTAATTCTGGCTCATAGCGACCCTAAGTAGGGTTTCCAAGGAGCGACTGGTGGGTTTGAACCACCAACCCTGTGGTTAGCAGCCCAGTGCTTATCCTACAGCACCATACCATGAATCTGCAGACACACACTTTGCCCTTGCTTTTTCTGTCTCCTTGTGCACCCATGTAAATCTCAGGTGATACACTCAGAGAGTAACATCCTCACCTCTGCTCAACCCCACTATCTGGAGAGGCCAACAGCACATTCCCTTTCCTGTGGATCTGCCTCGGGGAACACAGTTCAAAACACCACAAGGATTCCCACCTCTGTGCCTACAAGGAGCCAGTGAGGTGAGCGGGCAGTACCATAAAAGTACAGCAAGTGGGAATCCTAATGCAGTGCTGTGGGCTAAGGCACTGGACTGCAACATCAGTTTAAACCGCGAGATCAGCTGTTCAAGCTCACCAGATGCTCCTTGGAAACCCTATACAGCGTCTCTATGGGTTGGACTGACTCGCCAGCACTTAACAACAACCGTGCAGGTAACAGCTCCACCCTGAAAATACAGGACCACTGAGCTCTCCTGACACAGCTTTACGGCCAACGTTTTCCTTGTGTGATGCCTGTCCATCCTCAACAGTTGTGGTAAGCACTATTTAATTACCTCCCACTTTGAGGCATGCCTTCTGATGCACACCAAATATCGGCAGGGAGAGCGGGGTCTCTGTCTGACTAGCAATGGGCACTGATGTCACTGGACTAATTGAATTGTACCAGTGAAAACGGTTGAAGGGGCAAATTTTCACGACAGCAGAGGCGTGAACTGAGTAATAGGTATTTAAGGGGCGTTGGTGATGCAGTAGCTAAAGTGCATGCTACTAACCAGAAGGCTGTGGTTTGAGCCCAGCAACCCCTCTGTGGGAGAAAGATATAGACAGCCTGCTTCTGTAAAGCTTTAAAGCCTTGAAACCTACCCAGGGTCATGTGAGCAAGAACCTACCCCATGGCACTTAACAAACTGCCTCCCCCACCTCCACATGAGCAATGGTGGCACAGTGTGTTAAGCACTGTGCTACTAACTCCATGGTTGGTGGTTCTAATCCACTAGCCGCTCTGAGGGACAGAGATGAGGCTGTCTGCTCCTGAAAGGACTTACAGCCTTGGAAAGCCTCGGGGTCTGCAGACTGTCCTCTTGGGTTGCTCTGAGTGGGTTTATGCTCCCTAAGTGAGTAGCTCTGGTGGTCTCGTCTTACCGCGGGCACAATTCCAAGGTGGGCTCTATACCAACTCCCCTGCCAGGCCACAGCCCAACACCAAAAGGGGACACTCACAGTTCCGAGCGTGCTCCTTGGACAGCAGGTAGTTGGCGAGCGGCGGCGTGTAGGTGAGACACTGAAGAGTGGAGTTCAGGAAGCAGGTGTTGCCCAGGTTGTGTAGTCCTGCTCCCACGCGGTATACACGCTCCCACTTCAGAGACAAGCGCTCGGTGGGGAAGAGAACTTTCTGCGGAGCGGGGACCCCATCTGTGCAGCTGTTGTACGCATGCTCGCCACCTGGGTGGGGCAGGGGGGGCCGCGTGGTGAGCCTGCAGCCAGACCGTGAAGAGACGCTGCGGTTTCTCTGGGTAGGGCCCTCGAGGGCAGTGGATATTCCTGCTTACTGAAGTTCCTGGAACTTGGACCCTGGAGCCACCCTGGTTACCCGCCCCGGGACTGTCCAGGTTGCTTAGGGCGAGAGGCCAAAGACCCAGAGAAGGACCTGTGGGAGCAGCCAGGCTCTGGCTCCCAGCATTCTACCCCTGCTGGCAGTTGGCCCCATTTCTCTTGGTTCTTCATCCCCAAGACCTGCTCCTAAGCCTAGCACAGCGGAGGCTGGGTGAGGGGAGGGCCAAGGAAATCCCCTGGAGGAGCCCATGGGTCCTGATCAGTGCTGCCTTTGTCCCCGGTAACTGGTCAGTCACTGAGCTCCCGGGAGACTTTCTGTCAGCGGCTGAGAGGGGTCATACCATATCTCCTGATCTGAGCTTCACTGCTGTTCTTAGGCCGACTGGCTCCGTCGGTTTTGGGATTCAACAACACATATTTGCTCTTCAGAGACTCCAGCTGGTAGGAGAAGCTCTTGCTGGCCGGCTCAAACTCCATCTTCTGGAGCAGGACCTTCTTGGCAGAGGCGGCCAGCAGCCTGCCCAGCTCGCCATCATCGGTGGAGTCCTTGCGGCCAGGCTTCAGCGCCTCTTTCAGCTTATGGACGATGGGCATGGCACATCACTGTGGGGACAAGGGACACCCAGTCCACGGACCGTAGCACCCAAACCCCGGATTCTCATAGCCCAGTTCTATTAAGACACACATACACCCATGCACAGAGAGCCCCAACACCACGGCAAGTCCCACGAAGGTGCAAGTCTGTATAGAAAGTGTTCACGACAATCTGAGCGCTGTGTGGCCGGGAGCACGTGGGAGAGGTAAGTCCAAACTGAGATGGCTGTAAGCATGAAATGCATGCCACTTTCCAAAGCAGCTCTGGTGCCACAAGCTCTCAGCCGCTGAGAGGTCACAGGTTCAAATTTCCCCCAACGGCTCCGAGGGAGAAAAGCCTGGGAACCTGCTTCTGAAGAGATTTGTTGTGGTTTCGACTCATGGTAACCCTGCATTTCAAGAGTTTTGAGGAGCAGCTGGGGGGTTTGAACTCCCGACCTTGTGGATAGCAGTCCAGTGCTGATCCTACAGCGCCACTGATTACACCTAGGAACCCTATGGGGCAGTTCGACTCTGACCTACAGGGTTACATCAGCCAAAACGGACTTGATGGCAGCTGCAACAGCAGCCCACAGGGGAAAGATGTAGCTCCGGCTTCTGTAAAGATTCACAGTCCTGGAAACCTCTGGGGCCACTGCTCCATCCTGTCTTAGGGGGTCACCATGTGTCTGAGCCAATTAGATGGGCAGCGAGTTTGGTTTGGTTTTGGTTAACACAAAAACGAAAGTATCAAAAGCAAATACAAAATACCTCAAAATGTTTCCATCAATCACATGCTGAACTGACAATACTTTATGTGTATTGGGATTTCCCGGGCTTTTGATTTTGGAATGTGATCACTAAAAATGTCTGCTTTCCACTTGTAACTGGCATTCTATTTCTAAGGGCACAGATGACCTTTTCAAGAGTGAGGGTGAAAAAAACTTAAGAGGAAATCAACACGAGAAAAAGAAGATGGATGAGAGGACTGGAGGTACAGGTCTAGTATGACATCACCATCCCAGGGTAAGATCTAGTGTGATGTCATTGTGCCGGATGAGGTTTGTATGACATCATTGCCCCAGGGTGAGATGAGTATGATGCCATCACGCCCGGATGAGATGAGTATGATGCCATCACCCCAGGATGAGATGAGTATGATGTCATCACGCCCGGATGAGATGAGTATGATGTCATCATGCCCGGATGAGATGAGTATGGCAACATCACACCACCATGAGCCCTAATAGAATGCAATTACGCCCTCATGATGCACTCAGCCCTGATCTGATGTAATTATCCCATGTGTTCTAAGTCCTGACTTCCATAATGCTAATAATGGTGCTGGATACAAGCAACATGATTAGGCTGTATCCTGAGTCAATGGCTTGTGAGATCTAAAGGAGATTAGACAGGCAAGCAGAGCTCAGAGGGACCAGAGAGCAGAGCCGGGAATGGCATGTGTCCTCTGGACCTGGAGTCCCTGTGTGGTGAGGTCCTAGACCCAGAGCAAGTTTGATCGTGGAAAAATTTCCAAGAAGTGCGGGCCCACATGGGGACCACCAAGAAGTGCGGGCCCACAGATGCTGACAGGAGACAGGACCACCCCCAGAGTCCACAGAGAGAAAGCCTTTCCCCTAGAGCTGGCTCTCTGAATGCAAACTTCTAGCTTCCTAAACCATGACAGGACCATTTTCTGCTTGTGGAAGACGCCCCCTTGTATGTGTCTGTGAGAACAGCACTAGATAACTAAGACCTTGAGCCTGAGCTAGTCCCCCCCAGACACTTGTCAAAATGGGAGAGAAGGCGCACCCGCCAGGGAGCAGATCACATGCTCTAGGATGGAGGGGTCTGGGCTGCTCCCAGCTCCCATCACCTGCCAGCCGCCTGCCTGAGGAGAAACAGTTCACCTCCTAGTCTTCTGCTGTAATATGAGGACTAAAATCGTCACAGCTCTTGCTACATAGTAGCCGCTGGTGGTGGAGGCTTACTGTAGCAAAGAGGAGACGCCAGCACTCCGATTGCTACATTTGTTTCCATCACAGTCCTCCAGGCCCCCACCAGGCAATTGAGCAGATTACCAGTCACTCTTAGAAAAAGGTGCCCTCAAGATGCTGCCACACATGAAGAGGTGGCTCGGCTGGGGACTCTAGACCCAGCAAGGGAGAGGGGCTTTGTGCTGACAACTGGGGGGCAGGCTTGCAGGGCTTTGTGTGCTTGATGATGCATGGAGGGGATTGTAACCATATCAATGTAATGATATACAATAAGATGAATGTAAAGCTAATATTCTTGTAAACTATCATATAATTCACAATGAAACATTTAAAAACCAAAAAACAAACAAACAGAAAATGCTGCCACAGCAGATAAATGACACTGCCACCCAGTGTCCAGGATGGACCCAGCCTGCCACAAGACACCACTAGCCAGGTGCACCCCCAAACTCGGGGTTCTTTTTGTCATCAGGGTCCCTGGGATTCCACAACAGAGGGCTTCAAAGAATTCACAGAAAAGTGGAATTCAAAGATGGATGGAATTTTTCCACGATCAAATTCTTGTTTTTATACAAATCTCAATAAAAGACAGAAATATCAAAAACTTAATGAGTCCATTCCAACTCACAGTGCCCTTGTATAGGGTTTCTGAGGCTGTAAATCTTTGTGGGAGCAGACAGCTTCAGCTTTCTTCTGCAGAAGAAATCTTATCCTACAGAGCCACCCTACTCCCAGGAAGTTATATACATACCTGTGTAGACAGTCTGCATGTGGCGCTGTGGGTTAATGCGCCAGACTGCAAAGCCGTTTGAACTGCAAGGTCGGCAGTTCAAGCTCACCAGCTGTTCCTCAGAAATCTTATGCAGGGTCGCAACTGACTCGACAGCATTTAACAACAACGTATATAAGCATGGACTTCCTGTTTCAAGGAAGTAAGCACTCTTTTCTGAGAGAAGCCATCTGATTTCCCACCCTCAGGGCACCAACTTACCTGGAAGGGCTGGATGTGGGCAGTCTGAAGGGATGGGCGGTGTCAGGTGCTGCCCTGAGGCCTCTGAAATCGTCCAGGCAGTTAAAGCGTTTTGTTCAGAAGGGCCGTCCACCTCTATGGGATGCACAGTGAGACCATCACAGGGGGCTGCCTCTCCCCACACCACCCCCCAGTCCTCTCCCCATGGATATAACACCCATCAACTCTGCCTATCACAAGTCAACCACAAATCATCACCGAGGCTGAGGAAACAGCCAGGGCACCCCCAGCAGACTGAGCTCTCCCCTGCCAACACCACCAACGCACATTTCCCAACAGCAAGAAGTAAGAAGACAAACTCACATCTGGGTTTTGTACTTTGCTAAGAATATGAGTCCTGGATGTGGCACTGTAGGATAATGCGCTGGACCGCAAGGTCAGTTTGAGCCACACAATCGGTGGTGCAAAATCACCAGCCACTCCATGGAAACCCTATACAGGGTCACTATGAATTGGAACCGACTCAACAGCACTTAACAACAAGAATACAAGGGTGCTTCAGAAAGTTCACAGGAAAATGGAATGCTTAATGGAGTCCTGGTGTGGTGCTGTGGAGTAATCCGCTGAACCACAGTTGGTTTGAACTGCAACGTCACCACTTCAAACTCACCAGCCGCTCCTTGGAAACCCTATACAGGGTCGCTATGGGTCGGAATCAACTCGACAACATATAACGTGAGCCCTGGTGGCACAGTGGGTTAAGTGTTGGGCTGCTAACCCAAAGATCAGGGGTTCAAACCTGCTAGTCACTCTTCAGAAGAAAGATGGGGCAGTCTGCTTCTGTAAAGATTTACAGTCTTGCAAACCAGCTAGGGGCATTTCTCCTCTGTGTGCAGGGTCACTGTTGTTGGAACGGACTCCGCAGCAGTGGGCTTTTGTATATACACATATAAAATACAGACTCCTGGTATGGTGCTGTAGGATAAGCACTGGACTGTGAACCACAAGGATGGCAGTTCAAGCCCACGAGTCGCTCCTTTGAAACCCCTATACAGGGTCGCTGAGTCTGAACTGAGTCAACGGTACTCTAACAAGAACAACATATAAAACTCGGTCTCAGAACCAAGGACTAACCTGTAAAGACACCTCATCTAATGTGAGGAGTGAGTGATTCTCTCTGTGTCGTGTCATTCCTTTTGTCAAGACCTGCACCTCACAGACGGCACTTTGTCAGGGATGGACATGAACAAGGCCAGGACGCGTTAGCCAGAGGATAAGGAGAATTTGGGAGCTACAAGGCTTTCACTCAGTTGAAGTCGAGATCAGAGACTTAGAGCAAACATAATATATACTTTTGAGTTTTGACAGAAAGATCACCCCATCCACCGGAAATATTAAGTAGTAACTTAAGAATGATTCCCCAAGATGCAGAAAACCAAAGAAAAATCGCCTTGCGATTAAACACCAGCAAACTTTGAAGGCCACATTTAATAACTAACACACACACCCTTCAGAACTCAGTAAGGACAGGTTCTCCAAGTCAAACTTCTCATGGTTCAGAAAAGGACTGTGCTTACAACAACCAAACTTAGTATACTGCCACTGTGTGTGCCTACCTCTGATAGTACTCAGCACTCTCCTTCCCCACTTTTCCAGCATAAACCACACTCCACACCCACACACCATCAGCCACCTGCAGCGGCAGGAGGTAACCAGGAAGACAGGAGATGCGGCCTGCTTAGAGCCTGCTTTTAAAGGTGACCCAAGGGAGCGTGGAAATTACCAAACAAGATCTTTAATATCACGCACACGTAAAATTATACTGGTGATGATTCAAACACGCTGATGTACTAGCAACAAGGTGGTGGTGGTGGTGTGCGGTCGGTCCTGACTCATAGCGACCCTGCATAGGGTTTCCAAGGCTGTAAATCTTTACTGGAGCAGAAAGCCTCATTTTTCTCCTGCGGAACAGCTGGGTGTTTCGAACTGCTGACCTTGAGGTTAGCAGCTCAATTTGTAACCACGCTACCAGAGCTGCCAGGAGTCCTGGTGTG